TTGGGCATATGCAAATAAGTTATGGTAATGAGTTGTGCTAATGAGCTCCTGCACCTCTTTTTCTACAAAATGACCCCTGCTTAGAAGGGTGTAACTCTGCTTAGGACAACACTCCATCACACACGCTTTGCTACATCTTGCAAACTTATCATTTTTATAAGACTTAGCAGGTTTTGGGCTCTCTCGTAGCCACAGAGTGTCATCTCTCCCGTCACCTCACTTTGATTCAGTTCCTTAAGGAGGGTGTTTGAAGAACTGCATCAAATGGAGGTAAAATTCTAGCACTGCTAAGCAAACTGACATCTGATGTATCTGCAAGGACAGATTCACACACCCATGGGTTCTTTAAGAACTGAAATCTGAAATTGTTGATCTACTAATGTAGACCTTTGGGAATATAGGCTGTCGGGTGGAGCAATGCAACTACTCAGTTTGCATACCGGGAGGAGGTTGTGTAGCTAGTGACTGGGAAGAGGGGGTGGGGGGGGGGGGGACTGGGTAGGGTGTGGAGCATGAGGCCTAGACATTTTTCTCCTAGGGATGCCAGCCTCCAGGTGAGACCTGGTGATTTCCTGGCATGACAGCTCAACCCCAGTCTACAAAGATCAGTTCCCTTGGAGAAAATGGGTGCTTTGGAGGGTGGGCTCAGTCTAGGGCATTGGACCCCACTGAGTTCCCTGTTCCTCCCCAAGCTCTATCCCCAAATCTCCAGGAGTTTCCCAACCTGGATCTGGCAACCCTATCCCTCATCAGTGGCCAGGGGGGACCTGACAACCCTAGGGGTTGCCAGCCTCCAGGGGGGACCTGGAGATCCCCTGGAATTACAGCTTATCCCCAGTCTACAAAGATCAGTTCCCTTGGAGAAAATGGATGCTCAGGAGGGTGGACTCTGTGGCATCGTACCCCACTGAGGTCCCTGCTCTCCCCAAGCTCCGTCCCCAAATCTCCAGGCATTTCCCAACCTGGAGCTGGCAACTCTACCCCCCATCCCCCAGTGGTGCTAACGTTGCCAGCCTCCAGGTGGGGCCTGGAGATCTCCCGCTTTTACAACTGATCTCCAGTTGACAGAGATCACCTCCCCTGGAGAAAATGGCTGCTTTGAAGGGTGGACTCGAGGGCATTGTGCCATGCTGAGGCCCCTCCCCTCCCCAAACCCCACCCTCTCATGGCTCCACCCCCAAAGTCTCCAGGTATTTTTCAACCCAGACCTGGCAACCCTAGCTGGTGCCAGAGGGGGATCTGGCAACCCAAGAACTTAGCCCCCAGACCCCCTCTCTTTGAACTCAAGCTAGTTTCTTCTCTTGGATGGTGATGAGGGAGGCCCTGAGAACTTTGCTTTACAGGTGGGAGGCCTGCTTCTGAGGAAATGCAGCTGGGCAAGAAAACAGGGCATCTGGGACACTGACTGCAGGACTGCAGGAGCTACCGTCTGCTAAACCAGAATTTCCCGAGGGTCCAGAGGTCAATTCGGGGGGGAACACAGGAGATCGCAGTTCCCCCGGGTGAGGTGCGGGGGGCGGGGCACATCGAAGCCCCGCCCCCCACTTCCGGCCACCCTGCTTCCGGCCCTCATTCAGCCAGGAGGAGGGAGGAGAAGAGGGGGGGTAAGTTGCTTCCCCCCCGCCTCTCCCCACCCCTGCCTGCCTAGAGCCAGGGAGGGCCTTGGCGGGGCTTCCTCGCATTTCCGCCGGCCTTGCAGGTCCACCGCCGGGCCCCTGATGTCAGGGGGTGTGGCATATGCTAATGAGTTATGCTAATGAGTTCCCCTAGCTCTTTTTCTACGAAACGACCCCTGCGAGGGTCCTTTTATAAACCCCGGACATGAGCAGAGAGCTGCACTCTCAAAGAGCAGTAAGGCCCTGACTTAACAGGCCATCACGCCTCTTCAGACTCTGGACCTTCGGTCTGGGAAGGGCAGGGCTTTTTTGTAGAAAAAGCCCAGCAGGAACTCATTAGCATAATAGGCCACACCCAACAGCAGAAACTCATTAGCATATTAGGCCCCACCCTGACAGCACAGCTCATTAGCATCCAGCCACACCCACCTTTTGCTTCTTATTCTGTTTACCTTGTTTGTTGTCAAGACCCAGGGCCTTTTTTTGTAGCAGGAACTCCTTTGCATGTTAGGCCACACACCTCTAATGTAGCCAATTCTAACGAGTTTCTGCTGTTGGGTGTGGTCTATTATGCTAATGAGTTCCTGGTGGGCGTGGCCACCTCGGGAGCCAGCCAGAACTCCGTTCCTGTGCGTTCCTGCCCAAATATAGCCCTGGGGAATGGAAAGGAGTTTTGGGGATGGGGAGTACTATACCCTGTGGTGTACATGCTCTCTCTAAGCTGTGGAGTCTTGTGAGCAAAAATTCCACTTTGTGAGCTTACTGACATTAAAGCTGAGAGCGAGCGATTTGGCTACTGCATAAATTAGTTTGCTCTGGCGCCCTCCTTCCTGAGCTGAGACAAAAATGTGTGAGCCGGAGGCCAAAAAACTGTGAGCTAGCTCACATTAATTCAGCTTAGAGGGAGCACCGGTGTACATTGTATTTCCCCCATTGTACTAAATAGAGTTGTTTTGCTTAAGCCAAGGTGTGTGAGTAGGGAGCGGGGGGGGCGCCTTAGAGAAAGGAGGCTCTAAGCCTTGAACTTCCCTTGAGTTCCAATGCCTGGGTTACACTAACTTGTTGCTAAAATCAGCCTTATGTGCCAGGCGACTGGCCCAGTTTTTAGAAAGGGGTCCAGAGGGGATCCAGAAAATTACAGGCCAGTAAGCCTAATATCTGCCCTGACTGGGTAAATTAGTAGAATGTTATCAAAGAGTTAATTCTTAATCACATCAATGAACAAAGTCCACTGCCAAGGGAAGTCCTGCCACACCAATCTCTTTGAGTTCTTCGAGCAGAAGAGAAAGAAGAAGAGTTGATTTTTATACCCTACTTTTCTCTACCTTGGGGGGGGGGAATGGGGAAGTCCCCCTGACCTTAACCACTACGCCACGCTGAACAGGTTGACAAGAATGTGGGTGACAGTCCAGTAGACATATACTTGGACAGAGTATTCTGTCAGTTTATTCAGTCAGTCAGCAAGCAGATTACAAAGTATGAGAACAAAGTATAAGAATCTAACAGCAACGATTTCTAGTAAAACAAAAGAATGCAACACGAACTGTAACACGAGCACAACTGGGGCAGAAAACTCATTGATGGAGTGCTATAAATGGGCAACTCGTGCATTTAAACTACAATGCAGCGGTCTTGTTAAATGGCCCTGAATATGTGGGAAGAGGGCATTTAAGTGGCCCCTCACTTACCCATTTGGAGGATTATGACACACCGATATTTGGCAGCCAAGTTCTTCAGGTCCTGAAAGAGACCAAAGGCAGAGATTTGTGCTGCAAGCGCAAGACTGGTTTGTTTGAGAGGGCGGAGGGTTTAGGGATGGTTTGTTCATTAAGAGGTATCACCTTTGCATTGAAAGGATTTTGCAGAAGCAAAAATGCCATGAGAATGGGAAAGTGTGCCAGCCTCACCAAGGAACTTGAAACTCCAACCCACTGGGTGGAATATCTTCAGCATCCAGAAGACCCCTCTTCTTGCACACCTAGTCCCAAGATACACCCAGTCCTACCACGACTCTCACCTGGGCACGTGGTCCCTCTGGGTCCCGGCAGGTGGCAAAGACCCATTCTGGCCCCTTGCTTTTCCCTGCCAGTTGCTGGACCAGCTTCAAGCCAATGCCTCGGTTGGATCCCGTCACCAGGACACTGCGCACATTTAGCATTGTGGTGTTGTGTCGTCTGCCGTTGTCCGACTAGCAAAGCCAAAGATCAGCCAGCGAACTGCAGTCCCCTCCCAGGTTTGCATAAGTCACTTGGCTGCTGTGTTAACACATTGACTTAGTTCCTGAGAATCAGTCT